CAGTGGGCAGCTTTTGAAAGTTAAAACTGCAAGCGTAATACATACAAATAACGTAACACTGTGTCGTATTTACTTAACGTAGGGCAGTTGTGCTATATCCTAGGGGAGAGCATAATTATTAATTAATAGGCATTATAGGCCAGAGGAAATTTTGCGCCCCTTCACACCTGCGCCCTGGGGCGACTGCCCCCCTCTTGCTACTCCACTGTTGCTTACTTTAGGCATATCTTGATTTATTTGTAGAAGAGTTTGAGTCATTAGTCTTTCATAGGTATAAACACGTTGGTAAACACCAATTGTCGTCATGCCAGACGAGGCCTAACTATTTTTCAAAATGTAAAATACCAAAATAACCTTCAAATCAAGATAAATTACCTGCACATTATTTAATGAAATTCATTTTCAATTATTTATTCTTTAAAAACACTGAATAAGCACTTAATCACTACATTTTTACCAGATCTTGTTTACTACAACCTTGTGATGTTTGCACACTCCTCTTGCATTGAAAATTCTTAAAATGATTTTCAATGTTGGTTTTAAGCCTAGTTCCTACTTTGTTCCATTAACTGTGCAGCCAGCCTTAAAAACCTTGTTACAGCCTGGTAAGAAAGCTGAGCTCCTCTTTGGATGTTTCCATTGCAAGTATAAAGAAATTGTTTTGATAAAAAAAAAAAAAAACCGAGTGTCACATTCGTTACGTGCCTCAGACGTGCTGCTTTGATGAATGGCATAGATTTTTAAGCATTTTGCTACAAAATATGAAGTTTCAAGAATTTTATGCCCAAAATTATTAAAATATAGATATTCATATAGAAAATAAGAAATATGTTTTGCCAAATCTTTGAGGAAGATTTGCCTCCTTTTCTTCCTCTGACAAACTACAACTGCTTCACATACACATCGTTTTATGTTCTACAATAATAAGGTTTTACTTGCATCAAATAACTCTTGGCATTTTCATAAATGATCTCTGGAAACTTGTCTGGAATAACTGCCTTTCTTATCACAAAAATGAAACGCATAATTTACCTAGTTATGAATTAAGCAAAATTAGAATGTTAGTGCAAGATAGAGATGAACAGATACTAATTCAGTTATGAAGTCAACTATTAAATTAAAAATAATTCTACTGTGATTATGCAACCACGGAAATAAGTTTGCTATAAACTTACTCTAATCGTTAATTTTATGTCAGAGGCTAACGTTAGGCCTAGAAGTTGATGTTAAAATAATAAACTGTTTTCCATTGTGCTACAGTACAATCACTGAAAATATTTTTCAGGTTTTCACATCGCCAGCATTGAATAGAACTGTTGCGTATCTGCTCGTTTGTTAATTTCCGGTATAAATTCTTTCCCAGTGACTTCAGCGATACAAGTCCCTTTTTGATTAAAACTAGTTTATTCTTTCTCGTTACAAACTTGGTAATACACTTAATTTCCACAGTCAGTTTAACTTAACTACTTTTATAAAAACACGCTATAATTCACAGGGATTCACACACTTACGGCTTGACTCGATTATATCTATCTTCAATTTCTCTATCTATGCAATTATTATCTCGCTTTATTTGCCGGGCTTACATACTAAAATAGAGGGCGTCTGGAACAGACTAGAGTTGTCAGGACAATTCATGATTCTTCTAGAATATCATGACTTCAGAACTATACAATAGTGAACAGGTTATCCCTTTGTACTTTATATAATCAGAATAATGGTCCTTTTTAATTTTTTTTTTTTTTTGCCAAATACAGTTTTCCTGGTTTATATAAAAAGAAAGTATTT